CTGAAGATAATTTGACCCCTCTCGATCGAGCCAGGATGCGCAAGGTTTCTGCTAATGGAGAAGAGGAGGAAGACCCCATATCTGTAGCTTACCTCTCGGGTGGGAAACGCGCCTCAGTTCTGAATCCTCCTGTGTAACACAGGGTCCTTCTCCGGTGCAATTGGAAAAATTCTTGAGTTCCCGGGTTTCGGCACCAGCTGTCGCGCGCCGCTTGCCAGCAAGTAGACACGCAACATTCAGGATTCTTCTGAGGCTTTATTAATTGTGGGGAGAAGGCACTCAAACAAAGGAATACACTTCCTTATATAGACTAGAGTTCTTCCACATTAGGCAACGCCCCATGGCAACAATTACTCCTCCAATGAGGATTTTTCCTAGTGTAACAGACTATAGCCAGTGTGGAGAAATCACCATCTCGCGATCCTCCATTACATGTCTTACATCTCATATTCATATATAAATCATTATAATTATAGCAAAGCAGGCAAACTCCTTTATCTAGCAAGATAAAATAACTATATCAGCCTAAAGCACTAATTGGGCACTAACTCAGCAAACTAGGCAGACATGCTCTCCACAGGGAACATCATAGTAATCCACACTTATCTAATGGAGGACACTCACTCACCTGTACTGAGTCAATTTGTTCCTTTTAATGTTACAATACACAGTAGAGTAACATGAATAATGACCATACCAGAAATAATCTGGATGAACTAGTTAGTGGTGAGAGTATGAAGAAACAGTGAACTGCTGGTTTATCTCTGAACAGTCATTGTCTCTCCATACCTGTACTGCAAACCCATACAACTGCAACACTTGCTTTGGGAGAGCTGATACCAGTCCTTAGTAAAAATGAAACACTTTTTCTAATGAATTGTACATTTTTATTTTTATTTTTTGTTTGGTACCAGGGATCGAATTCAGGATCCTGTGCTTGCCAGGCAGGCAGTGGCAACACTGAGCTAAATCCCCAGCCCACAACTGTACATTTTAAAGCAAAACTTCTACTGCGATACTAAGTAAAATAAAAAGCACAAAGTTTATTGAATATTTAATGGAACACTTGGGCCACATAAGAGGAATGAAACTGAATTCCTACCTTACCAAATTTACAGAATCAAGATACACAAGTAGGCAATACTGTGAAAGTATCACAAGTAATGTTACAACAGACAAAGATACTGTGCCTAAAGAGAATATGCCAGGTTAAGGTAGGGAGAGACTGTGGAGGTAAAGAGGATGGGTATGTAGTACACCACTGTAATCCTAGCACTCTGGGCTGGGGCAAAACAATTCCAAGTTTGAGCCCTAGCCTGGCAACTTAGTAACTCAATGTGATCCTTGTCTCAAAAAAATTTACAAAGGGCTGAGGATGTAGCCCTGGGTCCAACCTCTGGTAATACCCCCACCCCCAAGACTGAAAAGTTAGGTAACACTTTCTGCAAGTTCTTGTAAGATTTTCAAGGAAGAAGTCACAGGAGGCTTTAAAAGTGAAATGTAGTATGATCAGATTAGTACTTTAGATCACTCCAAGAGCAGAAGAGCAAACAAATGAAAGCAAGATATGTAAATAATACTATTCCCTGCATTATAGTTTACTGTTGTAAATAAATCTGAAGAGATTAAGTACATTATAGTATAATTATGTAACCAAATATTCCACAGCTATTAAGGACAAAAATGGAACTATGCATAACAGAAACAATACAAGAAATGAAAGATATTTGTTTTTTTGTTTTTTGGCAGTAATGGACAGAACCCAGGGTGTGTTCTACCACTGAGCTACATTCTCAGCCTTTTCATCTTTTGAGATGGTCTTGCTAAATTGCCCTAAGAGGACTTGGACTTGAACTTGTGGGCCTATCAGCCTCCCTTAGTACTAGGATTATAAGCACATACTACCACACTCAGATATACTTTAATTCTCTTAATGTCTGTATATCCATAATTTAAAGTCTAACAATGTATGCATGCACAGTTAAATTTCTAAGGTAATCAGGAGGAGAAAAGCTATGTTCTGTTTAGGGCAATTTCACTTTTTTCTCTATGTATTACATTCATAATTTTAAAAAAATGTCTTTTTTAAAAAGGATAGTATGGCCATTACATAGAAAATATACTGATTTTAAATTAAGATTTAAACCATGGAAGTATTTGAGCAGTTGTGTAGTAAGATCTAGGTGAGAAGTGAAATGTGGTAGCAAACATCTATAATCTTAGCATTCATAGGTTGAGGCAAGACAAGCACAAGTTAGAGCCCAGCCTGAACAACTTAGTGACTTAATGAAATTGTCCTCAAAGATTTATAAGGGTTCAATCTGTAATACAGCGGTGGAGAATCTGCAGCACGCATGCCATGGGGGGCTGTTTATCACTGAAAGCTCTAAAAGGTTCGCCATCACTGCACACAACCATAAAATCAAGAGCTATTTTGGGTGAGACTGTTCCTGAATCTATATGCTGGTGTACCAAGATTAGTGGGCTAGAATTCATGTATAAATTGCAAACCAGGCATAGCACAACCCTTTGGTGAGTACTGAAGATGATCTTGCCCAAGAACCACATGTATTTGGGATCATTTTCTAACCGCTTACTTTCTGCTGCTGCACCCATCAGGGCTCGTGATACATCATGAAGAGAAGGTTGGTTTCACCTGATTGAAGCTCTTCTTTCCAAACTTTAATGAATCTAATTAGACTTAAGTATCCATACTCCTCTTAGAGATTTCTGAGATTTAGTGCATCCTCCCTCTAAATTTTGTTGGGACTGGTTATGGTCCAAAGCCTTAGTTCACCCTCTAGCCCTGCTGTTTGTTCTGTCAACACTCTAGTCACTTTCCTCTATATTCCTTATGCTATTCTGGAAACTAACCATGGTGCCTTTCAGGATTCCCAAGTGACAACAAAATTCCTTTAGTATCCTCAGCCACTGTTGTAAACACTGCCGTCTTTACCTTAACCTGGGAGAAAAATAAATCACTGGATGACAGTCACATCAGAGGGCCTTATTTCCATGTACTCCACAGTATCTATAGGTTGGAACATAAGATCAGTGTTCTTCCTCTCGAACCACAGAAGCCTTGTAAAAACCAACTTCTTTGAGGCACATACCATTTGTTGTACCACTGTGCCCTGTTTCTGGCTATCTTCTGTTTGAATTAACTTTCCTTCCTCACTTAAGACTTTGCTGCCTGCTTTTTGGTTTTATCCACTGAAGGCTGTACTGACCACCTGGGAGGATCTTCTTTAGGAAAATATCTGTTGGTATTTTTTTTTCCTATTTTATGCCCTATTAGCAGATAACCCTACCAGGGAACCTACAATGTTGTCTACATTCTCATAGCCAGGAATAGGGAAATGGCTGTCTTGACTACCAGAAGCCTGTGATATGAATTTTTGTAAATGGACACAGTGGTACTGTATGCAAAACTGAGGTCATATAAAAAAGGAAGAAATATATTTATAACATAAATTAGGTTACCCACTAGCAGTGCCTGATACCGTGCACCTGAAATTATCTCAGACACCGAACAGCATTATACAGTTGAGATACTTGAACAACTCAATTCACTTAACTATGAGTAAACAAACAGGCAACCAAACCTAATCCACCCCACCCATACCAATGGTGGAAGGACCCCTTCTCACAGCAAACACCAATCTTGTTTGTGCTCCAGAATTCCATCTCCTTAGAACTTATTTAACTATCCTTTGATTTGACATCCATCACATTCAGACCTAAACCTGTTCTAGTTCCTCAGATTGTTTTTCTCCAGGTTGGATGATCCTCCTGCCTCCTTACAAGCATGTGCCACAATGCCCAGCTTAGTTCCTCATATCTACTCAGAACCTTGTACTCTGAGAGGCAGGCAGTGGCACAAATGAGCTAAATTCCTGACCTTAAAATGCATCTTTATTTGAGACACTTATTCAAGTCTAAAACTGTATTATTCACCTGTTTATTTGATGTTTCCCTATCATATAAAGTTGATATGACTAATTGTGCCACTATCCTTATCTTTCATATGTACATTTTCCCCATATTTTGTTTCTTAATACATTAGAACTAAGTATCTGAAAGACAAGGAAGTGCAATCTCAAGCTCCACTTAGTATTTAAAATTGGTAATTTCCCCTCTATCTGAAACTTTCTGGTGCTGAAATGTTGAGATTTCTTTTTAGTTTCTCTGATGAGTTGTTTCCAATGTCAGCGTCTTCATCTACTGCATAAGCACAAAAATGCTGTCAACACAATTCTCCCTTTCCTAGATTCCTTTTCAAATGGAAACCTTTAATAAATGTAACTTTATATACCCATGCTTTTTAAAAGGTCACTGTATTGACTATATTCATGTACTGTATTAAAAGTCAATAGGCTTATTTTTTGCACATAAAAAGATGTCTTGAAATAAGCAGAAGGCTAGCACAGCTATTTAAAGGTGTCTTTGGGATCCAGGATCTCTTTTATATCATCCATACGCAATGATTATCATTCTTATGTTCACAAGATGGATCTTTTAACTCCAAGACTGGAAAATTCCATGGGAGAGAAGAATGGAGAAGGCAGGACACAGTGTGAAAGGCAACAAGAATAAAACAATTCAATTCCCAGTGATATTAGTCTATTTTTGACTGGTCAAGAATGAGGGATATGGTTACCTTTGGCTACAATGCTGAGAAAGGTTTTATAACTATGCAAATTAATAGCCTTAATTAAAATTAGACATACTAGGTGAGTGTAAGGTTAGTAGCAGTATCTGCCTCAGTGGGACAGAACAAAATTCTTAAAATACAGCCAGGGATTTAGCTCAGTGGTGCTACCACCTCCCTTGCAAGTGTAAGGTCCTGAGTTTGATCTCTGCACCCCCCCAAAAAAAAGCTGGGATCAAAAAATGAGAAAAGGGTCAGGGGTTTAGCTCAGTGGCATGGTACAACCTCCCCCCCAAAAAAAGAGAGAGAATAGGGCCAGGGATTTAGCTCAATTGCACCACATCTGGCTCACAAGCGCAAGATCCCGATCCCCTGTACCACTACAAAAAAAAAAAAAAAATTAAACCATATTCAGAACTAAATATATATTACCATAGAACATAATGTCTTATATAGCTACATGACTGTTTTTCAAGGCCATTAATAGCAGTAAATGCTAATCTAAGAATAAAAACTTGAATAATAAGCTTGGGGTTACCTATAAGACAAATCCACATTTATAATACTTAGGTTTCTCTACCCTTATGAATTCTCTTGTGTATAGTAAGTGAAGAGCTCTGAATGAAAGCTTTTCCACATTGAATACATTCATAGGGTTTCTCTCCAGTGTGAATTCTTACATGTCTCCTAAGGGAAGAGGACACGCGGAAGGCCCTCTTACATTCTGTACATTCATAAGGCTTCTCTCCAGTATGAGTTCTGATGTGCATTCTAAGGGAGGAGAGACCACTAAAAGCTCTCCCACAGTCGCTGCAGTAAAAAAGATTTTCTCCAGTGTGTATTTTTTTATGAGCCTTAAGGTGGGAGCTTGTGTTGAAGGCTTTTCCACAGTCACTGCAGTCATAGAGTTTCTCTCCAGAGTGTATTCGCTTGTGCACTATAAGGTAAGAGCTTGTGCCAAAGCATTTTCCACACTGATTACATTTGTAAGGTTTTTCTCCAGTGTGCGTTCTCTCATGAGCCTTAAGAGTTGTTTTTTGACTGAAAGCTTTTCCACATTGATTGCATTTATAGGGTTTCTCTCCAGTGTGAGTTCTTTCATGTCTTCTTAAAGTTGAAGAATCATTGAATACTTTCCGACATTCTTTACAATCATATCGTTTCTCACCCATGTGACTTTTCTTGTGCAAAATAAAATTAGAAATCCTTTTGAAGGCTTTTCCACATTGATTACATTCATGCTGTTTGTCTTCAGTATGAATTTGCTGCTGTTGTTTAAGACATGAATGATGACAAAAAGGTTTCTTGTTTTTAATACATTCACAGGAATTTCTCACCAAGTGAATATTATTATGTATAGGAACCATACTATCATATTTGAAGTGTATACCATATCGAGAGCATGCGTACTCCTTTTGTATTGCTGGCATTCTTGCAAGATGCCATAAAGCATGATCATATTCATGACTTTCACAGAGCTTTTCATTCATAGAATTATAATAACTGTTTAGCACTGAATTATATTTTGAACACTGAACATCTGAATCACATTTTTGGCAGTGTTTACTAGTGGAAACCCTCTGTGAAAACATAAGTTTTGATCTATGTATAGAGTTTTCCTGTAATTCATGATTCTCACAGAAATTCTTCTGAGATGCTGTTTTAGTTTGGGTATGTGTCACTTGTCTGAAATGTCTCTCTGGGATCTTGTGCTGTATTCTGATCATATGGCATTCCCAGTCTTCTTTTAATGTAGAGGACCAATCATTCATTATGAATTGTATTTTCAATTCACTGGATGGTTTTTCCCCAAAGATGTTATGTGTAGGAATTGACTCTTTGGTTTTAAATTCAATCTTCCAGTCTGGGCAGAGAGTTTGGGGAATTCTTTTCATAGTGTTTATCTCTTCTTGATCCAAGATGGAATTCACAGAAAGCTTGCATAATTGATACTCCACTGCTGTGAGATTTCTACAGTTTTCCAACATTATATCTTTGTACAGACTTCTCTGAGCAGAGTCCAGCATCATCCACTCCTCCTGAGTGAATTCCACAGTTATATCCTTGATGGTCACTGGTTCTTGTAACCAGGTAGTCAATAATCCAGTAACTGTTCTTTCCTCCTCAGTTTTTCTCACACAAAAGGAGATCAAGTCCTGTGCAGGTAGAGTCGATGTGGAAGACAGGTCAATGACTGACATCTTTTGAGTTTGAAAGTAACATAAACCTGTAAAACAAGGAAGAGGGGTCAGGATGTTTGTCTAGTCCACTCAAGGGATGGATGCATTTTTCCATGTGTCCTCTCTAGCCAACAAGTAGGTTCAGGTAAAAGAAGAGAGGTGGAAACAAGGACTTATTGTGGTCAAGATGAAAAAAAATCTTTAGACTCTCCTCCTATCTCTCCACAAAGTCTGAGCAGCTCAAAAACTTTTACCAGGATTGGTACACTATATGTAGTATGACCCCCCACTTGTAGAACGGCCATCCTATCTGTTCTCACTTTTCATGTAGACTACATCTCAGTCTTGGGGGGAAGAAGCATGTCATATCAAAAAAAAAAGTTAATGCCAAAGAGAACTAGTCAAAAACAACCCAAGTTTGTTTAATTACATGCCATATAGTTTGCTACTTTTTCAGTTAACTAGAATGGAAAAAATAGTTCCGTTGGTAAACACCATTGTCTTATTTGTTCTAAATACAACTGTTTGAAAACTTGTTTGTCCTACAACTTGGTGTTTACTTGGATAACCTTCCATATGTTGAATAGGAATGATGATTTGGCTGCTACTCAGGGAATTTTACTCATCTACTCTCCCTCCCCAAAACCACATTTTACAATGCAAATGTATACTATCTAAAACTTAAATGGGATCAAGAGATGAAAGAAGGAGCTATGTTCCAAAAGTTTTGGGAATGAGACCTTAGCAATGTTAACAAAACTATTATTATTATAATATATATTTTCTTTTCTGGTACCAGAGATTGAATTCAGGACCTTGTGCTTGTAAGGCAGACACAGTGCCTGTGAGCTAAATCCCTGGCAGTATTACTCTTTTCTGACTCTTACAGTGGCCTTAACAGAAGTAACAGCACATAGTGTGAATACAAAGACAATATGCATAGGGATTTTAAAGGTTACAACAAATGACAAGACAATGTATTACACTAACATTTTTTAAAGGTCTCACTTTTTGAAATTTAGGTGTTAACTCAGTACTGGGGTTCAATGGAGCTTAGTTTTAATAGACTAAATTACTGAATTGGCATTTGTAGACAAAGATCTTTGACAACATTCTATGTCCCTAAGCTA